CACGCAAATTATTTTATACAAATATTTATACAAATGTTATTTCATACAAATGTTATATCATTAAATAAAAAATAAAAATATCTTGTTCTCCATGCAATTACTTACGCAAATTAGACTAAACTAAAAATCATGTTCCATGCGTGCTGTAACATGCTATTTCATACAAATGTTGTTGTAATTAGACATTTAAAAAAAAAATAATTACGCAGCACCCATTAAAGAGAAGTGGATTATTTGAGTCACTTCTCCTTGAAGAATAATTGTCCAACGCAGTGTACATCAAATACCATTCCAATGACATCTAAAATTGATGTTAATTTGTTAGATGACATAAATATAAATATAAGAAAAATAAGTTAGATTGTTGAATTAAATGCATGTACACTTACCAAACAAAACAGACTCATCCAAATTGTGATAATCTTGAAGGGTGACAAAATTGCGAAAATCAAATCGGAACATTGGAAAGTTCACATAGTACTCCAATACGTCAGTTTCGCCGTAAATAATCATTTTATAAGGCACACATGTCGATCTACAGTTACCAACATTAGATTCAACTCGGTAGTTTCAAATGATGTGCACTTTGCCCTCTTCAAACTTATCCCCTAGGGGTAAGTTAAATCCTCGAAATCACACCGGCTATGCGGGCACCCTATACATTTAACAAATAATAAAATGTCAACAAATTTTTTGAATAATTACATATAATAATTTGTAATAGGTAAAGTAAAAAATCAAACCTCATTATTATGGAACACTATTTCCAAGGCGTTGAAATTTCGTTTGAAAATGCAGATGTCCCGAAGCTTCATGATATGTCTCTTACTCCTCCTTATATCTCTGATAAGGCCACACGACCGATCCATTCTAAAGTTGGACGTGTGATGAAAACCCTCACGTTCTTCCGCCAGAGCTGTGATGAAAACCCAATTCCATTATCTATTATCTATTATTTATATTAATAGTGTGAGTTATTGATAAGAGTCAATGAAAATATGATAAGATTTTAAAAATACATAACCTTATCTATAAGAGTCCACATATATTGGTACATGTCAATCTGATAAGAGTCCATAAATATGGCTCATGAAAATCGGGACGGTAATTTGAATTTTTTGGCAAATGAAAAATTTCAAAAAGAAAGTTAGTATACTAATAAAAATTTGGGCGGTAAGTTAGAATTATTTTTTAGTTACTGTTTAGGATTTTTTGGCACCCCTCTTTATATAATAATAGATTACAGCATGATGAAAATTTATTCAAAGCATAGGAGTTATTAAAAAATTTATTGTTCCTTTATATTCAGATAATGTGATTGCTCAACTCGACTTCATATAAAAAAAATTCAGCTATACTCTCTTTTCATTGCTGCTTATGTTCGGTGTAGTAGCGAACTGTAGATCCTCAATGAAGTTTTATTTATGTTGTTTAATTACTTGTTAATTTTAATAGATGGTGTTAGAATATATTTTGTATATATGGTTATAATATATTTTGTATATATATTGTAGGATTAGATTTAGGCTCATTATGTTCCTATATATATGTGTACATGTCTTTTGAATAATATAGAATATATTTTTCCCAAATTCTAACATGGTATCACACTAGGTTTAAGGTCCCAAATAGACTTTTGGTTCGTCGATCTTCTACAGTGCCCACCGGTTCTCACCTCCCATACCATCGGGTCCGCCGTCTCGAGACGAGTCTTCGCCGACCGGAACCACCCAGATCGGCCGCGCGTGCAGCTCCCACGCGCCGACTTTGTCCGGCAGCGCCGTGAGCTTCCGGCGGCGCGTGTTGTTCACCTACTCAGCCGTTTGCCGCCGCCTTTCAGCCGCCGACTCCTGTCGACGTC